ATGGTGTCACACAGGCAGACATGGTGCTGGAGAGGTACCTGAGAGTCCAACTACTTCTGGTTAGGCAGGCAGCAGGAAGAAAGAGAGAGACTGGCCTGGCTTGAGCATCTGAAACCTCAAAGCCGCCCCCAGTGACACACTTCCTCCAAGAAGGCCACGCCTCCCAATAGTGCTACTCCCTTTGAGTCAGCCTATGGGGATCATTTTTATTCAGACCACTACACCTAGCAAGGGAGTATGAAATTACTTTTTAAATGCCAATGGAAAATATTATGTTTTGGGAAAGAAAAAAAGGACTAGGATGTTCTACTCCTGAAACAGTGGGACCTGGGAGAATGGAGCCAATAAATGATGCTGAGTAAAGTTTCATGCAATAGCCAACTTTATTCAGAGCATCAGAGAGTTTAGACTATGATGATTAAGAGGAGTCACATAATTAAAGTGTACAATACAAGGGGAAAACAACATGTGATAGGCAAGTTGCACATGGCAAAACCTATTTTTCCACAGAGGCATATAAACAGTTAACAGTATCTGGTTGTCTTGTTTTCATGGAGTTTTCTCACAAGCATTCAGAAATCTCACAAGACACTATTCATGGATGTGTTCCAATACTAGAGGAATACTTCAATTAATACAGTGCTGGCCATGCGAAGGCTGGGGACAGGAATTTGATTCCCAGAACCGGCAGAAATGTAGATATCTGTGTAATCCCAGCACTGGGAAGGCAGAAGCAGGCAGATTTCTGAGGCTCACCAGACAGACAACCCAGCATACTCAGCAACGTCTAGGACAACCCCCCCCCCCTTTCAAAGGAAAAGTGGATGGCCATAGGGAGCACAACAGAGTGCGCATTGGAGAAACCAGAATTGTTAAGCATACAAGTCTGTTTTCTTCCACAGAAAGAAGAATGACTCCTGGTCACCTGGAATGCTGGAGTGAGCATGGTCAAACAACCTGGCGATCTCTTGCTGTTCTATTGCGAGCCAACTTCCACCTGAATTTCCCCCAAACCTTGAGATTGGGTAGGCCCATCCTGGGCTTTGTCTCTCAGTGAATATAACTCATCCTTAGGAAACAGATCCTCCATCAGTAGGACCTGTCCTTCCTTATGCTTGCTACAAATCTTTCCTCTATGCCCTAGCCCTGAGCACTGTTTGCTGACCAACAGAACTCATTCTGAGGATAAAGATCTTAGGTAGTTTGCTAGAGTGGGTATTTTCCAAGGGATTAAATGTGTAAGAAAATTAAACCATGAATCAGACTCCAGCAGTTTTGATCCAGTCTGATTGACCAAGCCCAGTTGTACCAGGTCTCCCTCCTCACCTCTTTGCATTTTATTCCCTGCTGGCCATTTCTGCTTTAAGGACCCTCTGAGAAGAGACCCCACACGACAGTTGGCACATGAGGAACAACCTCAGAGACTTTCTCTGGACTCCACATGCACCTCCCACTCCCACCACCCCACAAAGATAAAGGAAATGAAAATTTACATAACTAGATGATTATTTATAAAACAAACGAGTAAAAAGATCACATTCAGAGCCTCCTTTTTGGCAGGAAAAACTGAATAAAGAAGATAGAAAATTTTTTTTAAAGGGCTAGAAGATAGGGAAGGCAAGATGTTCTATGTCTAGTTAATATAAATTCTACCCAGGAATTTAAAGGGGCCACAGAATATCAAGGATGGGTAAGGGCATGGCAACACCCAGGAAACAATTCCACAAGAAAAATGGGTCTATCTACAAAGGAAGATAAATTAAACAAACATGACTTCACAGGGGTAACAGTGGATTGAAGAAACATTTCCACATTGCTTGAGGACATTGAATACTTTCTTAAAATACTGATTGGCCATTTATATTTCTTCTTTGAAAGCAGTCTGTTGGCCTTTTTGCTAGTTAGTAGTTTGGTTTTTTGCACTTATTTTTTCCTGTTCTTTATAAATTCCAGACATGAGCCTCCCTGTCACAAGCATAGCTGGCAGATTTCTCTCCCAACCCACAGGCTCTTTGTTTAGTCTGAGGCTAGCTTCCTCTACAGTGCAGGAACTTCCATTTCATGTAGTCCAACTTCCTCCATTGTGGCACCTGTGCTATTGAAGTCCAGATCAGAAATTTCTTGCCTGGACATGTATCATGAAGTGTGTTTCCTATGTCTTCCTCTAGTGGTTTCAGCATTTCAGGGTTTAACTTAAAGTCACTGACCCACTTGGAACTGATTTTCATGTCACATCACAAGGTAAAAGATATACAGGCCTGGGCTGGGTGGTGGTGGTGCATGCCTTTCATCACAGCACTCGGGAGGTAGAGCCAGGCGGGATCTCTGTGAGTTCGAGGCCAGCCTGGTCTACAGAGTGAGATCCAGGACAGGCACCAAAACTACAGGCCTGAACCCAGTTTTCTGAAGGTGTAAAGACATTGCTATCACTCCCACTGTTGAATCATCTATCTTCTATGCATTCCACTCCACTTCTAAACAAGTAGCCAAAGCTGTGTGGAATAATCTCCGGGTCCTCTGTTCTGTTTCACTGGTCTACATGTCTGTTTCATGCCAGTACCATACTCTCTTTGTCACTAATACATTCTAATGTATATAGCATTGAATATAATTTGAGGTTAGGTATTGTATTCTCTTCCTGTAGTGTTGCTTTGTCTATTTGCGGTCTGTTATGTTTCTGTCAATGTAGGAGTATGGAAAGTCTTTCCATGTCTGTATCTTTGGTTTCTTTTTTCAGTGTCTACAAGTTTTAATTATAGAGATCTTTCACTTCCATGATTGAGGTTATTCCTAAGTACTTTGTATTTGGGGGAGCTATTATGAATGGGATCTTTTCCTAATTTCTTTCCCAGTGAGTTCATTATTGATATATATGAAAGTCCTTGATTTTTTTTTGTATGTCAATTCTGTATCCTGCAAGTTTACTGAAAATGTCTGTTAGATTGAAGAGTTTTCTGGTGGAGTTTGTAGGGTCTTTTAGGAATTGATAATATAGTACACTGATAGGGATAATTTGACTTCTTTCATTACTATTTTATACTCTTGTAGCTTCCTCTTGTCTTATTGTTCTAGTTAAGACTTCAAGCACTATACTGAGTAAGAGTGCCAACAGTGGGCCTTCTTGTCTTGTTCCAGATTTTAGAGGAAACACTTAATCCACCGCCCCACCTCACCCCCGTACCCCGGTAGCAAAATGTTGCTTACATGTTTGTTGTGTATAGATTTTGTGATTTGGGGACATGTTGAAACTGTTCCTAATTTCTCTAGGACTTCTATCATAAAGGTGTGTTGAACTTTGCTAACTGTCTTTTTTTGTGGTCATGTGATTTGTGTCTTTTAGTTTATTTGTGTTGTGCGGTGGTATTATATTCACTGATATGTGTACATTGAACCAAGTTGCATCACACGGATGAAGCTCACCACTTAGCCATGATGTATGATAATCATAATGTATTTCTAATTATATTATATACTTTGAATACATTTGAATTATGCAATGTGTTTTGAATTATATCTAGTTTGCAATTATTTTGTTCACAATTTTTGCTGTTCTGTTCATCAGGAAGTGAGTCTGTAATTGTTGCTGTTGTGTCTTTATCTAATTCTATTCAGGATAATACTGTCTTCATAGAATTAATTGGGTATTCTTTCATTTTCTATTTTGAGAAAAAATTTCCGAAGTGTTGGTATTAGGACTTTCTTAAAAGTTTGGTAGAACTCAGCCATGAGTCCATCTGATCCTTGGCTGTTCTTTTGGGGAGACTTAATCTCTACTGCAATATCATTACTTGTAGTAAACATGTTTAATATATTTATATCTTGAGAGCATAATTTTAGTGTGTCATACATGTTATTAGCTCTTCGGAATATAATGATACTATAGATTTCATTGGAGTCTGTTCTTACAACTCCCTCTTCACCTTTGCTTTTTATTAATTTGGGATTTCTTACTCATTCTTTTTATTAGTTTGACTAGAGGCTTGTCAATCTTGTTATCCTTTAAAGAAAAATAACGTTTTTTGGCTAGTTCTATATATTGAGAGTTTGTTGGTGTTTGTTTTATTAAGTCCTGCCTTAGTCGTTGATTTTTTTCCCCGTCAGCTACTGAGTTTGGTAGTGACTTCTTGTTTTTCTAGAACCTTAAGGTGAATTACTAGCATATTAGAAAACTCTGATTTTGTTCTATTGTGTATACTTACTTTCCTTTTTAGGATGCTTAGCGATTTCCCAGATTGCCTATGGTTTTCATTTGTTTCTAGGAATTTAATTTCCTCCTTGATTTCTTCAGTGACCCAAAGTATATTCAACAGTGTATTGTTAAGTATCCAAGTATTTGTGTAATTTCTGTAGTCTGTCCTGCTATTGGTTTCTACTTTTATTCCAGAGTGGTCTGATAAGATACAAGGAATCCATTCATTGTCATCCTCTCCCTCTTCTTTTCCTCCTTTTTCTCCTCCCTTCTCCTCACCTTCCCTTTCTCCCTCTGTGTATGTTAAATCTAGTTGATCCATGATATAGTTTATATCCCAGTACTATTTGAAATACTTCCTTGTGACCTACTTCGCATAGGAATTATGCAAAAGGCGGGAATACTGTCAATGTGTGGCATGCACTAGGCATCTGATCAATAATAGTTACTGAGCAAGATTTCCTATGGAATTTTAACATGCAGTACGAAAGCAGAACAACTGGATTGGAAAGAAAATGATAGAGAAAATCCCAGGAAAAGCGAAGGTAGATCTTCCACCGCTCTGGGACACAGGTCGTCATTAGCACCTGCAGAGGGTATCTAAGTCCAGTGACGCTGTCTCCGGACAAGGTGCTCGCCCCTGGAGAGCTGCCTCCTGGCAGATGCTCAGGTCGGTCTTTGAGACAGAAACAAGAGAAGCCAGAAATATGAGGCGTCCTCGGCAGGATTCAAATCTCGGGACCTGTGTAATGGGCTGTAAACCCAAGGCGGGCGGAGAAAAACGGAGTCTGGATTTCCGGGGACGTTTTAGAGACCGCACCGGCCCCGCCCCTTCCGGTCCGCTCGGCTCCGTGTCCCCCGGACCCACGTGTGTTTGGAGCGGAGTGAACTTGGAGCTGCCGCGGCGGCCGTCCGTGGGGTTGTTGTTTCTGGACACCGCGGGGCCTCGGTGGCCACGACATCGCCATGGTGGGTGGCGCGCTCGCTGGATTCCCCGGAGGGCTCTGCTCGGGCGGACGGGAAGGGGATTCTCGGAGCCGGGAGAGGCCGGGAGGCTGAGCGGCTGCCCGGGCGGTGCTGGGTCCTGGGTGTCTCTGCCCCGGGGATCGGAGTGCTCCCGCGCTTTGCCACCCCGCCCTGTGGCGTGGTCCACTTCCCAGGGTCTCCTTATCCTGGGGGAAGACGTTTGCATCTTCACTGGTAACCAATTTCTGGGTCCACCCACCTCTGCCCTCGGGCAGGTAGAGAGATCCACCCTGCCCTGGGCACAGTCAGCCACGAGGTATTTCGGTCCACAGCCCCTCGGCGGCCGGTTCTGACTGGGGTCCTGCCTCTACAACCCCGATTCCTCCCGGGCAACCATGTTGTTAACTCCGTGTGTTTACTAAGCAGAGAAGTTGCTTAAGAGCGTTCATAAAACATTTGTGTGTAGGACTCTAAAGGGTTCATTCGCAGCATCCGTTTTTACGTTTATAATTGATGTTGTGTGCGTGTGGATAGTGGAGGACAACTTGTGGGAGTCCGTTCTCCCCTTCCTCCCTGTGGGTCCCCCACCTGAGATCCAACTCAAGTCGTCAGGCGTGGCAGCGGGCGCCTTGAGTCTCGGAGGCGTCTCTCTGTCCCCTCCTTGTTTCTTTGTCTTTCCCTGTCTTCCTACTTTCAGTCTGTGTCCCTGTGCTTGCGCGATTTCCTGCTATAATCTTCAGAGACTTTCATTTCAGGTAATAAAGCAGTTACATGTAGTTGTATCTGGAATTTGACTGCACTTTTTCTCCTTGGCAATCGGCACTTCCCGTTCGCCACACTTTTTATTAACAATGGGTTGTTTTGCATAGAAGTCACAGTAGTAGCATTTTTATAATTGTGTTCTAATTGTCACATTTTTTGGCCCCGTTTTTCACGTTATCATCAACTGTGGTCCTGCACCGTTCTTTAAAAGGTGCCCATGATTCCAGAGGCCTGAGAGGGACACCTGTCATCTTTGAGAAACTATTTAACTCCCAGCAGCTTAATTAGAATGACAGAATGCTCCACAGAGTTCTGGAAATTAAGTGTCTAGACAGTTTTGTGAATTTTTCCTAAGGAAGCAAACAAATGTAAGGCTGGCTTGGTGAGCCAGTGAATTTAACCGGTAGTCAGCATGGACAGTTTATACATAACAAGTGACTAAAGAAAAAGTCACCTGCACACCCCGGCTGCTGTTTGCATGTGGAGGACAGAGGACAACCTTGTGGAGTCATTCTTTTCTTCTACCCTCACGTGGGCTCTGAGAATGGAAGTCAGGTCACCAGGCTGGTGCAGCAAATTCCCTTATTCACCGAGCCATCTTGCTGACCCCTGAAGTTACTTGTTATTGAGAGTTTGTTTTGTTTGTCCTTGCTGATAAATGTTTTAAATTGTACAAAAATTCGAAACTCTTTAGAGATGTAGTGAATCTTCTTCATATCTTTGTGCCTTATTTATTTTATCCATCCCTGCTGTGGACAATCTTTCATAAATAGTTATAAAGAATCTTAAGCTACAGTTGAGTCAGGATGTAAGTTCAGGAGGTGGAGTTCCTTGCATTGAATCTTGGTGGTTCGTTAACTTAAATCTTTGAAAGCCTTAAAGCCCTTTCACGCTTAGAGAATTTCATACTACTCTTATAATGGAAATTCTAAGTCTTTAAAAGAAAGCTTCTGTGTGGTTATCCCTGTGTGTGTGTGGCGGGGGGGGGGGGGGGGGGGGGGGGGGGGGGGGGGGGGGGGGGGGGGGGGGCGACAGAGATGGAAGTGAGTCCTTTCATAACTTGATCTTGGAGTTGATATGTATGAAATCCTTATCATTAAAAGTGAGTCATTGTGTATCTAACTACTAACTACACGTCTCCTATCTTTTAGCCTAAAGGACTGAAAGGAAAAATTGTAGGACGGGAAAAAAAAGTCATCCATCCGTACAGCAGGAAAGCAGCTCAGATTACAAGAGAGTCTCACAAACAAGACAAGAAGGAGAGGTAAGTGTCTAGTCCTGTTAGTGTTATGCATTAGGGAAAGCTCCTTCATGCATCTGCTTATCAGGTGTGTGTTCCTCAGTTTCCACTCTCGCTTTTCCTTTAATATTTTTTCATGTGTTCTTATACTGAGGTAAACAGCATGAATCCTGGTTTTACAGAGCTAACCTAAAACATACGTTTAAGTAGCAGTTCATGGTGAGTGTAGTGAAGAAAAATTAACACAGGTTGAAGGATAAAGAGAGAGAGGTTATATTTTATAGAAGTCCTGGAAGACACCTGGCGAACTTAATTAACATTTGAGCAGAGCTGAGAGATTGTGGGTGTGCTGTGTGTTCGACCTAACAAAGGAAACGTGGGATATGTGGTTAGATGTCTTGGTTCTAGTGTTCAGGGACTGATTAGAGATGTCACAGGAAGCTGTTGGTGTTGTGGATTGGTGGCTTGGGGTCAGGAGACTAGGTCCCTGAATGAGTGCTGTGGATGGCAGAGAAGGCAGTCAAGGCCTGAATAGTCTAGTAGCTGGTCTGCCATCTCAGAGTTGGGCAGGGCTCAGAGAGAAATCTGCCACAGATACTAAAAGAAAAATTATACCAAAGAACATAAAGGATTTTTAATGTTCTTAACAGATTTCGAGACCCTTGTTTTGGAAATTTTCTAATTTGTGTACACAGTTACTTCCAAGACTGGAGGAGAGGGTCTGAGGCTGAGGGGAAGATATTGCAAAAACTCCATAGAGAGAAAATCAGATAGAAGTCATTTCTGTGTGGCCTAGCCTTGCTGGTCCAGTGAGTGCAACGGGTGTCCACACAGTTGCTTTTTAATACCTTGCCTAAGACCTAAAGCCTCATTTAATAAAGCTTGGCTGTTTTACAGTGATTTGGTTAGATGTTTTTTAGGAGAGACTGATGGCATAGTCCAGTTTTCTTTTTTGTGAGGGATATGTCTTTTTTACATAGAGATGTATGGTGGCAGTACTGTCTTAAAATAGTAGTTTTCAAATTTTTGGTGTTCATTTATCACTTAGCATTTTATTCTTTTTTAACGTGATTTACTACATCTAAACAGTATAATTTTTCCATTGCCCATATGTGTATTTGACAAACTTCCTTGACCTGAGACACACCATATTAGAATGGTGTTTTCCCCTGCCCCGCTCAGGTCTGCTGAGAGCACTGGGCTGAGGTTGCATATTTCCAGGTGGTGTCCAGGTGCTGCCGCTGCAGGCATAGTCATAGCCCAGTCAACCTTTGTTTGCATGAACAGGACTGGCCCTCTAGGCTTTCCGTAGTGAGTAGCATGCTGAAACAACATTCTAGTGACATCTTATTCCCGTGATTTAAAAGATAATCATGTCACGCCATGTTTCCTTGTTGTTAAGATTGACTTTTTTTTTAAAATACATGTGAAAGAATGTCAAAGTTCTCTGGGAAGTTTTTCTTTGTGATATTTTTGACAGATTTCTAAGCCCCTGCTTTGGAAATTTTCTAATTTATATGCACCTTTTGGTTCAAGATTGAAGACTGAGAGGGCCTTGCGTCTCAACCTTATTGGTAAGTGGGTTTGAGTGCTTGAGATTCCGGCTACATACAGTAGAGTGAAGTTTTGCTGTAAACCAGTTTCTCTGTTTTATCAGCTTTTTTAAAAGCAGACTTAGCTAAAAGAAAACAAATGAAGTGGAGCGAAGCACTTGACTTTCAGAGTCAGCTGCTGGTGTTCCCTGCAGCTCAGCTTTGCAGAAACTTCATTGCCCTGCGCCTCCGCATCTAGCTCGGGTTTAATCCTCTCTTTCGACAGCTGAGATTAGGAAGGGTAGGCTGTGTTCGCTCGCTGCAGCACATCCCTAGGATAATTGCTTTAGAAAGAGGAAAAGTTTGCTTTGGCACATTTGAAAAGTGGGGGGTTCAGTTCATGAGGCCGATCATGCTGCCTTGGGATGGATAGCAATAAGAATGCAGTATCAGAGGGGCTGTGTGCTTGAGCAAGCTGCTTACCTCACTCTGGCCGAGAAGGAGAGTCCCAGCAACCTTCCCGGCAAGGGCACTTCATTAGTGATAGTGCCGCCTAGGCCTCACCTCAAAGGTCTCGTCATCTCCCAGTAGCACTGCGCACTAGAGAACAGCATTTAAGACATGGGCCTTTGAGAGCGGTAGAGAACCAAGCTACAGCAATAGCTTAAGAATTGCGGAGCAGAGGGTTCGTGGTTAATAGGGGTGCATACATGTTCAGTCCTTGTCAGTGACACAGTCTCCTTCCTATTTATCTTTTTGCCTCTCCCTCCCTCCCTTCCTCTCCCTTTCCTCTCCCCCCCCCTTCCTGTAGGTGATATTTATTACTAATAAATTTTTACTGACAAGTCCAGGATTTCTCTTGGCACAGTACCTGGCACCTCTCTTAGGCTTAACATGTGTAGTAATGATCTCTTTAGGATGCTTAACTTCATGTGTAAATGTGAAATGGTGCTGATCTGAATAGAATAATTATAAAGTTCTGGACATGGTGCTAGAGGCTAAGCCTTTGTTTAACAAACACTATTTTCATCATTGTTCAACTTTTAAGATACTTTCAACAAGTTACATGTTTTGCTTTATAAGGTTTTAAAATTTCATATTCTGTCAGTCCATCTTTCCTCCCTTCCCTGATGTTAGACAAGAAATGTATGGGGCTGGAGAGATGGCTCAGTAGTTAGGAAGGCGGCATACTGCTCTTGCAGAGTTCAGTTCCCAGAATCCACATGGTTGGCTTTTAACTACCTACACATCCCACTCCATGGGACCCAACATCCTCTTCTGGCATCTTTGGATACTGCACTCACATGTATAAACACATATTCACATACGCACACATATGCACATAATTAAAATAAAAACAGATTGTATCAAAGGAAAGAAATGTGGGGAGGCAAACACCACTCCCGTCCTTGTCTCTTTCTTTAAATACAATGTTACATTTCATTCCTGACAAACTGGTTCCATTGACTCAGCTACACAGATCTTTATTTAACAATGAAATAGTTGGCTTTAGTTTTTAATGCTTTGCTGTGGAGGATTGTGGTGAAAACCTTTGCCTACATGAAGCTTGCGGTGCTAAACTTTGGTACTTATTCATAGGTGACAAACTTCAGTGGTTTCACAGTCATCTGGATACAAAAAAAACGAGATATTCAAAGAAGGATGCCTGTGAATTAATTGAAAGGTAAATATGGGGCATGTTGTGAACAGAGGGTCAGAAAAGAGAATTCCAGCCTGGTTCTCGGAGACACCTGTGCTCTAGATTTGCGTACTAGCAGATGGGCTTTTTCCTTTTTTGGTTTTTCGAGACAGGGTTTCTCTGTGTAGCTTTGCGCCTTTCCTGGAACTCACTTGGTAGCCCAGGCTGGCCTCGAACTCACAGAGATCCGTCTGGCTCTGCCTCCCGAGTGCTGGGATTAAAGGCGTGCGCCACCACCGCCCGGCGCAGATGGGCTTTTTAACAGGAAGACTTGATTGTGTGGCCCAGCTTGGCCCCCCTTAGTTTCCTGGGGTTAGGGAGGGCTTCCTGGAGAAACATTGTCTGCACTGGCCCCGGGTGTTGAGGTAAGGTGGCCAGAAAGCATCTTCAGACTGAGAGAATAGTGTCTAAAAGTCCCCGGGGTTGGGGGAGAAGCTGGCGGGTAGAAGGACCCACAGACGCTTCCTAGGACTGGAGTAGCAAGGCTGGTGTAACCGGTGCTGACAGTGACGGCTGGCTCATGACCAGTTAGGTGACCGCCTGAGTTTGGACCTTACCTAAGGACATAGGAAGCCTTGGGAGGACTTTTCAGAATGCTTGTGTGGTCCTCATGCATACACTTCAAGTCACAGCCTGAGCATGGGGACAGTGCTGAGAATGGGCGTGGTGTCGCCGGAGAGCTTGTTAAGAGGTTGATGGCGAGGAGTGGGGATGAGAACATGGGGAAATGGGAGGGTCAAGCTGGATCAGGGACAGAGTGGGAGGGCAGGGAGGAAGATACCATGATAGATGAGGACATCATGGGAACAGGAAGAGGCAGGGTGCTGGGGAGGCTCTCAGGAATCCACAAGGTTGACCCCACCTTGGTCTGCTGGCAGTGGTCCAGAGAGGGTGCCTGGACTGGTCTACTCTGGTGACCTGCCTAGCAAATAACCTAGCTGTCATCATAGAGCCTTTGTCTAGTGACTGACGGAGGCAGATACAGAGATCCACTGCCAGACACCTGACTGAGATCTGGGAATCCAATTGATGAGAGAGAGGAGAGATACTGCAGGCGAGGGACATCGAGATCATGATGGGAGGACATGCTGAGATGACCAGCCACACTAGTGGAAGCCCATGAACTCTGGACTGGTGGCTGTGGAGCCCCCATGCGACTGAACTAGGCCCTCTGGATATGGAAGATGGTTGTTTGGCTTAAACTGTTTGGGGGGGCACCCAGACATGGAGATGGGGATCTGTCCCTGGTGTATGGGCAGGCTTCTGGAATCTGGTGCCTGTGCTGTGCACAGCCTTCGTGCAGTGGGAAGGAGCTTGGACCTACCTAGGCTCGGTGAGCTGGGCTCTGCTGACTCCCCATGGGAGACCTCGATTTGGGGGATGTGGGGATACAGGGTGGCTTGGAAAAGAGGGCTGGGGTATGGGAGGAGGGGGGATCTGTGGATAGCATGTGGAGTAAGTAGAAAATTTCTTAATAAAGAAAAATGGAAGAAAAAAAAAGGTTGATGTGACTGTTGACCTCTGCTTAGTTAGTAGTAGCCTGATGGAGAGCTTGAATTCAGCAACGTTAAGAGGTAGAACTTAGGTGTGGAATAGGGAGAGAGATGTTAGGTGGATGCCTCGAAACCTCACTTAGAATGTCAGACTCTGTCCTCAGACGATGGAGGAGGTGTGGTGTGAAAGTGTGTTGAGGGGGAGATGCTAAGGTCTAGAGAAGAAACCCAGTAGGTGATTCAATGTGGGGCTCCTCAGTTCAGCGGACAGCATGCTGTGTGTTCACTGAAGTCAAGAAATGGTTGGATTATTGAGGAAAGTGTTCTTAAGTCTGAGGAAATGAGGAATTTGAGTATGTCAGTATTCGAAGGACAGGGACACCTGGGTGCCACATTTAAAATGAATCAACACAAGCCCAGATATATAGACATGTAACTCAAATCATTTTCATGTTTTTCAGGTACTTGGGTCGATTCAGCAGTGAGCTGGAGCAGATTGAGCTGCACAACAGCATCAAGGACAGACAGGGCCGGCGCCACCACTCCCGGGAGACTGTCATCAAGCAGACCATGGAGCGGGAGCGGCAGCAGTATGAAGGCTACGGCTTCGGTGTGTGTGTGTTTATGTGTGTGTTCTCTGACCCCTTGCCTTTAAAACAGGAGCCGATTGATTTACCTCGATCCCCTCACGTCTAGAATACTTTTATTTCCTTGTGACAGTTGACACCTTCTTTCTTCTGTGACACTTCTTCCTAGCACACACCCTACTCGGGTGCCCATCTCCAGACAGCTGTCCTCCTCCCCACTGCTGTGACTCTGGCTCTCCAGCCACACTGAGGCACATTACTAGCTGGCAACACTGAAGGTCCCTGGCCAGGACAGCCTACCGAGTTGAAGACCCTTACATTAGTGGCCATTCCGAGGTGACATGGCCCACAGATAATACTGTCACTTTTTTTTTTAAACAATGATTTCAACTAATAAGTACAGGTCTGTGGCTTAAGAAACCAGACGACCTGGGCACAGAGTCTTCGGGGCTGAGGTCTGAAGTAGCCGCTGTGCTGGCAGAACTCAGCATCGTTTCAGCCGTTGTCATGTTGCTGGCTTCATTCATATTTCTGGCCTGGCCCCTGGAGGCTTCAGTGTTACTGTCTACTTTCTTGGTCAAAATAGTAGTTAAAATACATAATAGCAAGATTAAAATTTCAAGTTTTAATATAAAGAGCATGAACATAAGATCCCCAAAGAACTACCCTGGATAATACTAGAAACTGTGAAGTGTGTGGACTTCCTCTTCACTTCTAAAATGTGTTTCTTAATCTGAAAAAAATTCAAAAAGGAAAGCATATTTTTTGGACCTAGACACATCCACACTTGATTCCGGGAACCCACCAGATAATAAAGTGGATGCCCTTGTTTTTCTCAGTTTAAAAATAAAAGAGAAGGGGGTGGGGACTAGGAGGAGAGGAAGCTGGGGAAACTGTGGCCAGGATGTAAACTAACTAAATAAATGAATTTAAAAGAATAAAAATAAAATAGAAGCCAGGCATGCTGGCACACACCCATAATCCCAGCCCTTGGAGTCAGAGGTAGGTGGATCTCTTTGAGTCCCTGGCCACCCTAGACTATAGTTCCAGGACAGTGTGGGCTACATAGAGAGCCCCTATCTCAAAAAATATAAATAGGATAGAGGACATATTTCTCTGGTTCAGAAAGTTGAGGATTAGCTCAAAAGTTTGTGGCACTGTTACAAGAGTGGCATAGAGCTTCTGCCTCTCCTGTGACGCTCACATGTCGTTACTTCCTGTGAATATAAGATGTCATGTGTGCATGTCTTTCCCTATCACTGATAATGCCCTGGTAAAGGCCATGTAATGGAGCACGGGTTTATTTTGTCATAGCTTAAGCTCATTGTGGTGCTGAAGTCACAGCAGTAGGAGCTGTGTGACATTGTGTCCACAATGGATGCTGGTGCTGAGTTCTGCCGCTTTTCGTTCAGTCTGGGACCCAGCCTCGGAAATGGTGCCACTCAGCATTTAGGGCTGGTCTTTATTCCTCTATTACCCTAATGAAGGTGATGCCCCATGGGCTTTCCTAGGCCCACCTTGCAGGTGATTCTAGATGTCATCAAATTGATAGTTGAGACTAAGGCCTGCGATTCCACCCTTTGCCAGCTTGACACCCAGGCTGCCTTCCTCCCAATGGCCATCTTACAGAGCAGAAACACAGTCCATCCACCTGAAGTCCTGCTTTTTAACAGTTCCAGTGCTGCTCAGAAGTCCCTGCCCGGTACTCCAAGGCAGCCTCGTAACTGAGCTCCCATGCAGGTTACAGGGCAACTTAGATTGTATTGAACTGTTTCGATGGCCTAATGATTGTAATTGTTAAAAAAAAAAATTCAGTTTGAATAAAGTGATCTTTTAATGTTAAATAATCACTGAAATCTGATAATTCTACCAATGTGACATAAGGTATGTACATAAAAACTTGTCTTTCATAGCACTACAAAATAAACACCCACACTTGCTGTTGAACGCTGGCTTACCTCACAAGTCTGTGCCATACCCCCTATGTAGCAGAGCTCCTCTGTCATCCCTGGACACCGAGCTCTGTTCTTCCCATGTGTGGTGTTTGTGTGGACCAGCCGTGCTTTGAAGATGTTTTTTCCCTTGGGACGGGGGAGAAGGCTCAGCAGTACTAACCGCCATTTCAGGCGGCTCATAAATGCTTCTAACTCCAGCTTTAGGGGGTCCCACGCCTTCTGGACTCTGCAGGCACCTGCACATACATACATGATGTACACAGGCACATTTACACATGCATGTAAAAAGTTTCTCTTTTCTATTAACATCAATTACCATGTTGTATGTGTGATAATGAGTGAAACTATAACAAGTAAGCCTAATGGATATTAATTGTTTTCTTTCTCAGAGATCCCAGACATTTTAGACACTAATAATCTACAGACTTTTCGGTGAGTATCTGAGTTCCTTAGAAGGTGTGTATGAAATAAACAGGCGTGAGCTCCCCTGGGTGTAGGTGTTGATAGGAAAGCAAGTGGGGAGTGTAGTGTTGGCATTCCTCTTCTGTAGGCGTGCTCTGTGTCCATCTGCAGCACCAGTGTGCGAGCAGCTGATGCTGTGGTGCTCTTCTCCTTAGCAGAGCAGTAGTGCAGCAGAGACGTCTCTTTTCTCCCCATGCCGGTTCCTATTTCCTAAGATAAAATAACAAGAACAGATGAAGAAAACGGATGCCAGGCTAAGAGTTTTGTCATTGAGAACCTTTGGTCCAGGGCTCTGTGATTCCACCCTCGTAACCATGGAGACTACTGAGCTGTAGAAACTCAGATGTTATTTTTCAAGCACAGATTCTGTGTATTGGAAAATGTTTTTAATTAATACTTTTTGGTCTTCACTAACACATGTTAGGGAGTGTGAAGTTTTTCAGAATTGAAATTAGGTGTTTAAATTCAGGCCTAATTGAAAATAAAATGTGTTCCTTGGGTCTGGAGCAGTGTGCATTCTGCCTCTTCCAGAGTGAGCAGTGTGAGGAGGTGAGCACAGCGTGTTAGCATCGCTGGGTCGCGAGCCGTGGCTCTCCAGACTTCTCAGGAGGTACAGATAGGGAGGTTCCAAAAGGAGAATTAAAAAAAAAGAAAAGTCAGCTGCACTGTGCCTGTGTGTGAGAAGAGCGCCCTTTTCTGACTTAGAGCTTTGCTAGCTATGATGTAATTCTAATTTTTGAGGGTCTTGAGACCATGTAGCTTCATAAAGGAGAATATTTAGGTAGAGAGAAGAAGGGAACCACAGAGCCTAAGGGTTTTTTTTTTTGTGCATTTTTGAAGTTTAGAGTGGGTAGGATTCTGTGCAGGTAATACTACTGTAGCCATAGTAAGTGAGCTTAGGGCTTGGGCTAGTGCATCTCTCACCCCCACCCTCACCCTCACCCTCACCCTGACCCTCCCATCCCCACCCTCACCCCGACCCTCCCCACCCTCACCCCGACCCTCCCCACCCTCACCCCCAACCCCCTGCCACCAGCTTAGGTTGCTATTTCATGCGCATGTAAAATCTGTTATGAATTTTGGTCTTCCCTCTGCTGCAGGCAGAGCTCTGAAACTGACTGTCCTTGCTCATTTTTTTCCTAGGGAATGGGATTTTGATCTGAAGAAATTGCCAAACATCAAAATGAGGAAACTTTGTGCTAATGATGCCATCCCCAGGAAGCGCAAGCAGAAAGCCATTTTAAATGTGGAAACAGATTTAAATATAGAGAAAGATTTAGGGGAATTAGAACTAACTGTGGGAACTGGAGACGCTAAAGATGGGGAATTGGAACCAGCGAGTGAAGCAAGCGACTCGGATGAAGAAATGACTCCAGTGCCTGCCTGCCCCTGATGGAATCCCTTGAGACCCCCGCCCACTCCCTGACGGTAAAGAACCGTGCGGGGGCTGGCTCAGCGGCTGGGGTCTTGCAGCCAAGGCTGACTGCCAGTGTGATTCCCAGAATCCATGGGTTGAAAAGAGCAGATGTTACGAGTTTTCTTCTACCCCCCACATGCACACACATAAATAAATAAATTTATTTTAGTAATTGTCTGTATGTGGGAATTCGCTATTTAGCTCATTCTCAAGTCATTTGCAGTTTCAGAATAGGGTTATGATTTTTATTTAAGAATGACAGTTTTCACTTTCTTTAAATTGCTTTTAAAATACAGAGATTGTGTTAATCTCTTTTCATTGTAGCTGAATACCTGGGCCTGGGAGCTGAGCTGAGAGTCTGAATACCAACCCAGTGCAGTTCTGGTGAGGCGTCTGTCTACGTCACTGCATGGCCAACGGCGTCATAGTGGTGGAATAGGAGACGGAGCGGGTGGGTGCAGAGGAAGATAAGCCAGCGAATGGGAAGGGGCCTGTGTCCTGTCACCTCCTGGAGTCCTGTCACTTCTGAACATCACCATACTGGGGTGGAGGGTGTGAGCGGCAATTTTCTAACACATTAAACTGTATCCAAAACACCATTGACCTTCAAAGACCATTTAACCTGAACTTTGCAGAAGGGAAAATTGGAAAAAAAAAAAAAATAGGGTTAGGAGGATGGCTTGGTCAGGGAAGGGCTCCCGAGGGCCCGAGTCTCTTTCCAAACAGGGCTGTGTGGCGGGCTCCCGATGTCTCAGTGCGGGAGGGGGGGGTTGGGGGTGGGGGGGGGGGGGGGGGGGGGGGGGGGGTGGGGGGTGGGGGGGGGTGGGTAGGGACAGTAAACAGGCACAGAGTGGTCGGTCCTGGCTCAGTAGTCCACGTGTGAATGTGGTACTCTGGAGGGTCAGTGCTCCCAGACCCAGTGCCACCCCTGCCTTTGAGGGCACACACAGCATGGGATTGCCCTGATGGACTTCAGTCTTGGATGACGTTTTAATACGCGCCTTGTGTATTGGAAGTAACTTGTTTTTTGATTTTACCGAGAATCACACCACATTTGGCTTGATTCTCAGAAGAAAATTTGGATTTTTGAAACACGTTAGGACTATTCAAGGGCCATGGAGACTTTAAAAGACCATGATGTTTAACTAAGTGCATTTTGGATTTACAAAAGACTTTGAGGCCAAAGGCAGAACGCTGTGGTTTGGATTTTAAATGTCTCCTGCAAGCTCCTTCTTTGCACACTCAGACCCTACCTTCCGGTGCTGCTTTGAAGGTTGTGGAGGATTTAGGAGGGAGGGATCGGCTGTCAGTAGGGCCAGCTCTTTGAAGGTTATGCCTGTCCTTGGGTCCAGTTGTCTACCACCGTGCAGGTTGACAAGTTGCTCCAGAAGCTGTGGCAGACCGAAGTCCTTCTGAAATGGAGCCAGAACACACTTCCTTAATGTCGCCCCCCACCCCCCCATGCGCTTGAAATTTGGATCACAGCAGCACAAAAGTAGCAAATCCATCTTTCAGATAACAGTTGAGCTAGCACTTGAGGTGATTCTTTCCTGCCTGATCCCAGGCAGCGGATCTGTCAGAGAGTCCCAGGCAAAAGGCCGTTGCCTGTGCACATTGCTAAGTGATGGTGCTCTCAGTTCTGCATAGTGATCTTCCGGTTTCCCCATTACGTTCTCCTAACTTCGTGGCCGGTATCTCATGACTTTTTCAAGGTTTCTAACTGTTCAGATACGAGTCTGCTGAATCTGCAGCTGTTGGGTCTGCATTAAAAGCGCTGCTGTGCTGTTCTGCTGTAACAGATGCAGTATTCTTTTCACTTTACAGACCAGCAGACCCCACTCTGTTCTTTTCTCTGAATCATGCAGTAAATCTCTCATGTAATTCCACAAGACAGAACTGGGTGTCTGCTCTTTAAGCATTATAGTAAACGACTTTCTAAACAAGGTAACTTGGGAAGCTGAGGAATGAATACGTGTGTGCATATGTAGACATACTCACTGTACACACACTTAGGTGACCCTAGGAAAGCAGACACCATGCTCTGGGACGCTCGTGCCCTGCTCTGTCCTGAAGTCTTCTAACGAGGCCAGCTGTTCTTTTCTTTGAAGCTAGAAACTTGACTTCCACTATTCTAGAAGTCTGCAAATAGCTCCACAGGCTGCAGGCAGTGGGCGCAGAGTGAGGAGCTGTGCTCCATCCACCTGGACAGCAGAGCATTGTACTGAAATACTCCTCAAACTTGTTCAAAGTGGGCTTGGGAAGCTTATGTATTATTTCCTTTGGCTAATGTATATTTATTATCTATTTTTGAGACCCATTGAAAGAAAGCTATTTCTTGGTCCAAAGAATGCTATCTATTCTAGGCCTATGTGGAGACCTAATAATATTTCAAGCTACCTAAAACATGAGTTAATCTGGTTGGGCTGGTCCATCACCTGGCTAAGGGACTACTCCTTAGAAAGGCCAGTTCACCTTAACTCAAGCTAAAGAGGGGAGGAATAATTATCCCTTTAATGAGGTAATGTGCTTTTCTTACCCAGAAGGCTGGGCACAGGTACAGTCAGGATTGAGCTGCCACGAAGCTTTTAGGAGGACACACCTCAGGAAAAGGCGTTACTTTTCTCTTTCTTTCTCTTTCTTCCTCCAATGTGATTCTGAATTTGGGCATTGCTTTCCCTCACCCTTTGGACTCTCACTTCACTCTGAAGCGCTCCTGCATTCTGTGTGGCCACTTTCAGAACGTGGCTGACACCCATTGCTAAACATGCTGTCCTTACTGAGATTGCATGTCTCTTCACCTTCTTCATCCTCTCTTCTGACGGCTGCTGCGATTCCCAGCTTGTCTGCCCTGTTGTTGATGAAAGTCTAATAAAGTTGTCCAGGAGCTTCCTTCTGAGTCTGTTCTCAGTTATTCTGTTGACAGGACTAAGTCCCCAGTTTTCTCAGTAACATGTGACATCCTAGGTGGGGCCCCCCAAATTTCCATAATAGCACAAGGTTGGTAACTTGGTAACTATAGATTTGACATAACTGAGTTAAAAACTCAGACCATTATCAGATCTTAAATTAAGAATTCAGGGTTTGGAGTGCTCTAAATACAACTCTAGGAATCCCGGTACATTAGGCAGAAAGTAGAGAAAGTACAGCCAAGATTCGGAGCATTTGTTTAATATACAAAGTCTTTCACAGATAATTACTTTCCTTAGTTTGTCTTAAGCACACATTACTCACAAACAGTAAATTGTTAATGAAAGACAATAGATAAAACTAAAAAAGTACAAATGCCCAATCTCAAAAATTGCACACAGTTAAAATATTTTCTCCTTCATTTGAATGTTATATCTGATTTCAACATGGGCTTTCTTCAGGCATGGGAGAAGTATTGCAGCCCCAAATAACAGCATTTCCTTTCAATTGTATCATGTAAAATAGCACCATTGAGCTGATGTAAGGACGCAATTTTATAACAGTTACAATAGTAAGTTTTAGGTTCTCCACTTAATATTTGCCCCCAAATATTCACTGGCAAGGCAAAGTAAATTATATCTGACAGATGGAATAAATGACCTTTCTACTTCATTTCCCCCACCCCCCAGTATTGTAATTTCTCATAATGATGTCATTGTGTTAATGAGCTCACTTCTCAGCAGAAGAATAAATATCTGTAGGGTACCCAAGGTCCTTTTCACAAAAAAAACTCCTGTTTGGGGGCTCTGCAGGGTATCATTACCTAGCAGCAGCTCTGAGTGAAGGTTTGATCCAGGGACATTCTGAGAAAGACTCAATGTCTGCATTGCAGTATCCTGGGTTACTGGGACTCTTTAAGTTACCATTTTTTGTTTTCATTTTTATAGGGTTTTGTTGTTTTATACTTAAGTTAACCTGCTTGGGGGAGGGCTTCATCTTTTAAAGATTTATTCTTTTTATTTATGTGTGTATCTGTCCATGTGTGTGTGGGTACTCTCAGAGGCCAGAAGAAGGTTTTGGGTGCCCTGGAGCTTGAGGTACAGGTTGTCGGTTCGGGGAACTCAACCAGGACCGGCTATGAGAGCAGAAAGTGTGAGCCATCTCTCCCAACCCTGGGTTCACTTTTAGATGTTTTGATTTTATTCCTTTTCAAATGAATATTTAATTATATCTAATAGAAATGTCAACTCTTGATAGAAAGCATTTTCAATGTCTGGTTTATGGCATTTCTAATATCCCAGCTTCCCTTTGTGTTCATAAAAACCCAGTTTTAACAATCTGTAAACTCAGCAATTCGATGTTTTGTTTCAATTTCACTTCATATTTTACATGAGAGCAGGTAAACACACCTCAAAATAATGTCATTCTGTAAAGCAGCTTTCCTCCATAAGCTGTAAGTCAGGCCATCAAAGCCAAACCTTTTCATTGTTACTAAGTGAAAACTCTGTTACCACGTGAATGTGCAAAGATAGTTTCAATACTGGCTTTATTCATTTAGTTTTAAACTTTCTGTTGTTTTTTGTTCTGTTTTTGGAGGAAGGTCTCAGGTAGCCTAGGCTGGCCTCTGTTTGGGACTCACTCTTCTTCAGCAGAGGATAACCATGAACTCCTACATCTCACAAATGCTGAGATTACAGTTGTGTACCTACTAAAATGGATTAGTAAGAGCTGGGGGAAATACTCAGAAAAACTGAATGATAGTTAACCCTTTGCGTGAAGTCATGATTAACCCACCCATCCTTTGTTGTCTATATTCATCTTAAATCTTTAAAATGGAAACTATCCAGGAAGTTAATACAAAGTTTAAGGTTCAGGTCTTTTTCATTAATGTCGTAGGAACCCTTATTTGTTCTGGAGATCTGGCCCAGTTTTGCTATGTCCACCATATTCTCCCTGCATGTTTAATTCTTGTCCCTCCCACAAGTTTTAAGAAAGATGAGTCTTTTAAGGTTTTGTTTCCTGACTGAATACCTTAACATTTCTCTTGTATATGTACATGAATATACACGTCAAACACACACACACAATTGACATTGTTTACTATGTCTTTATTTCTAAGGGTGGGGCTATTTGGACCCAGTGTCAATCACTACAAATACCATACTCTCTTCTCATTGAAACATCTTTTTTTTTCTTTTCCTTTGATAATCTGTGAAGAACAAACACTGATAATTACAAAGTGCGTGGACGTGGTACCCAGATTTGTGCAACATGATGCCCATGCTTTGGTTTTTATGGCCATCTCTGCCTTTTCAGGATAATAAATAACGAGAGCTAACCAAAAAAAGTCACTTTTTAAAATGTGGTCACCTTTCTTTGACAGGTTGTGATTATTAGCTCACTGCAGTGTCCTATCAGTGTCATTGAATCTGTATGGAGCACAGTGCTCAGTTGTTGAACCGCCAACAGCTCATCACTCATCATAGAACCTTGACTATTTTTACCTCTCAGCTGAGCAAGGGAATACTGTCAGGTGTAAACATGGCTGAGATCCTTAGTTAAGATGCTCACCTGTCACATTGACACTCCATGTGGGTTTAAAACCCTTAACACATTTGGTTTAGTAACAAAATATTTAATTTTTATTTCCCTACCATAATGGACTTTATAGGTACTACACAGAAGTTAA